CTCATGTATTTGTCAACAGAGTTGTTGCGTTTTTTCTTTCTGTGTGCTAACAATTTTGGCGGTGTTTCCGTATTGTAGCATTTCTGCAAACAATTTCTGTTACCAAGGTCTGCGCCGAAATTGTCAAAAACAGAAATTGTTTGCTGGGTATGTAATCCAGACCACGACATATTTTAAGCAAATTGTTAAGATTCGACGAAATCTATGGTTAAAATAATCAGAAAATAATAAAAATAAAAATAAATAAAGATAAAAATATAATAATAAATAATAAAAAATGATAAAAACCAAATGAATAAAATTACTCAAATTACTCACAATTAATTGGCACATCAAATAAACTACGACTTCTCTCCAGCCAACACACAACAGCAGCCACAACCATGATTATGTAAATTTTCATATAACAGTCAAAATACAAATAAGCGATGTCAAGGTGTATAAGTCGATAAGCCAAAACCATGACCATCTTCTTCCGTGGATATCACAGGCTGTAAGATCTTTATTATCAGATATGTAAAATTGATCGTATGTCTTTGAAACTGCTGGCTTTTGTAGGTCTTAGGATACTTAAACAGTGTGCAAAATTTCGTAAATAAATATTCATTAGTTTCTGCACAATGTATTTGTTAAAGAAAAAGGCGTCATCTTTGAATGGAATTTCCTCATCTTTTGGAAGGTGGATATCAAGCTGCCGGAGCTCATTTTACTCGTGGAAAGTTGTGTTATTTATGGAAATTTGAAAGCTAAGCGATTTAATAAATTTAAATTATTTAAAACTGGCATAGAAACATACCTATCATTTTTGCTTATAAATAAATGAAATTATATTGAATTTTGATTACATTATATTCTCATGTCGACATTCGGAAAGCTGGCATTTTTTCACGAAGTTAACAAACAAAAATGTTTGCTCTTGATCAATCAGAAGCCGAGAAAAAGTTTTTGTTTATAAAAATCACAGCAAGAGAGAGTTTAATTTGCAATGAAATTAAAATAATGGGTTTTTTACTCCGACATACATTTTTTTTATTAATATATTAATAAACCCAGATAGCACATAGACATCCTCTGGAAATTTAAAGGACATCTTATACGGACGAAACAGATATCCTGTGGATATCCTATTTTAATCCTAGAATCTCCCCTGGATATTCTGAGGAAGAGCAAATAACCCCAATAGCCAAATAATAGCAGTATGCCAGCAGTATGCACACAGGTTTAATCAGCACTTTGCAGCAGATTCCACTCAGCTGTGTCATCATAGTGAGTGAATTATGTAGGCACGATACGTAAAGAAAACAACACAGCAAAAATATAGAAATAAATGAAGAATGAAATGACAATAACACGTTATGCTTCAAATCTGCTACATTTTTTTAGCAAGTTCTGCTTGATTGATGCAATAATATTTGCATCACGGCATGACATATTTATATTCTTTTTTTTTTCTGTTTTTCTGTCGATACTAGTTGAAATAACAGACTATGTTTAAATGCTGGCTACATTGTACTGGCATAATGTGTTATTGCAGACTTTGCAAAATATGATCACTCAGTCTTGGTTATCTGGGTAAGCTTTTTTAGTTCCTGAATTATCCTTAGGCTATTATGTAGAACGTTTCAAGGATTCTTACAGAATATATATGTGTAGGACATCCCAAGAATTTTTACAGAATAAAACCATATCTTTTATATTAATATCCCAGCAAACACAGATATATAACAGCAACATTGTCGTAATAAAACAAATGTAACATGTAATATAACATGGTCGTTGCATGTAACATCCATGTTAGTTGTAATTTCCTACTTATCGTATATTGCAGTTATATAATATATATTATATAATATATATACGATATACGATAATGTGTCCGCATTAGACTTGGATTTTTTTGCCAAAGCTTGTCAACCGCGTTCTGTTACGTGCCGGATAGCCACGTAATAAGATAAAAGAATATGCAGGATACTTTCTGTGAGGTGCTTTATTAATGTGAGAGGTAGTGTTGCTCGTCTGAGCTGCGAACGAAAACTGATCTTGTCTTAAACTAA